CTTATTAAATAATTCAAATAATAAATATAAACTTTAAATAGTTACATTTGTTTTTAGTACAAAGTAAATTGATGCATGGTAAAGACTTTAGTACAAAGTAAACTAATGCATGGTAAAAACTTTAGTACAAAGTAAATTGATGCATAGTGAAGACTTTAATACAACATAAATTGTTGCATGGTAAAGACTTTATGGGCTGATATCTTAGTAACCAATATAACAATAAAATGTTATATATATTAGTATATAGCATGTTTTATTTTATAAAGAATAAGAAAATTGGCTAATTGATTCAGCCAAACAAATAAAAACTATTTTTTTCTGGTTAAATATGACCTTAAAAAACAGCATGTATCAATCATTTTATCACTTAATGATGTTCTAAGTTTAGCAATGAATAAGCCATCCGTACTGAAGCATCTTTCAGCTTCCACAGATGGTGGCAAAGAAAAAAGGGTTGAATTTAACTCTTCCAAACCTTTTGGTCAATCATTAGATGCTTCAAACCATGCAAATTCTTTTTTAATAAATTATGTATTTTTAGTTAGTGAAGCCACAACAGTGTCAGATAAAAATTCATAATGTTCAACCATTTTCAATCTTCTTGGCAACAATTCTTTAGATTTTAGAGCAGCCCTCTTGTTATTTGAAACTAACAAGTCCACTAATACCATTTTTTCTTTTTTCATTGATTATTTCTAATGCAGAAGTATAAAAATTTTCCCCCATAGTACTTATCTTTTCCTTTAGGTTTGAAAAAGTTAATTTGAAACCTTTTCACTTTTCATGATGTCAACATCTCTTTTACAAAGAACCTCAGTTATTTCTAAACAATCAACTAAATCCTTGATGAGATAAACTTGATTTTGTGAGATCAACTTCTAATTTAGCAAGTATTACATCACTGGCAGACAGATCATTAATAATGGGGTCTAAAACATTTTTTATCTTTAGATATCTTGAAAGCATTTTGATTAAAGAACTCTTGTCTTAGTTTCAAGAATCATTGATTGTTGTTTTCCAAGCTTTTTTAAACAATGTTGTTGAAGAATATCTTTTTTGGTAGGAGAACTTCTAAATAACTTGACAATTTTTCTAATTTTTCATTATAGTTTCACAAAGATTGTCTGCCAATTCAATTACATTGTTGTTGTCCACTACTTATATGTCTAACACATATACTAATGATTTTTCTTCGATGTGCATTTATCTAAAGTTTTTCTTTGATGTCCATTCATCTAAAGTTTTTCTTTGATGTCCATTCATCTAAAGTTTTTCTTTGATTTTCAACTTGTCAAAGCCATCAGCCAAATTAGACTTTACTTTATTGTAATATTTCAAGAGAATACTTTTCATTTTATATCTATTACTTGGAAATTTTAGGTTTTGTGCTGCCATTTTAAAGTCTAACAAAACAACCTCAGGTGAATCTTGTTTTTAAGACAAGCATTGAGTTCTGAATTTTTTCTCAACTGATTTTTATTTCTTTAACTGCAAAAGTTTTTAAATTTTATTTCAACTTTTTCAAGATAATAAATTATTTAGCAACTGCTGATTGAAATGTTGAAGTGCAATATTTGCACAATTGAACTATTTGAATGAATCAAAACATGTTTCCAAAATATCAGGACATTTTAATTGGTACATTACACTGATTTTCCATTTTCAAAAACTTATTTAAATTTATTATTTTTTCTAAACAAAATTATAATTAAATTTATTATGTTTTTTACTTTTATAATGATAAATTGTCACCACCACTCAGTCAAAGAATTGAATATATTGTTACTCAATTATATTAAAAAGTTTTTTTTATTACAGTAAGGAAGGTTCTTAAAACAGTTGAAAAATTTCTTTCTTAATAATAAACTTGAAATTTTTTAAATCTCAACAATCTCAAAAACTAATATGAAATTTTTTCCTCTGATTATGAAGCCAGGTCTGATACAGGACCCTTTTCTAATAGAGTACATAAATGATCAACATGTGCATTTTTTTAAAAATAATGCAGTCTCTGTGCATACATTAATTGATTGTTATATAATGATATGTAAGAGATTAACAAGCTTTTTTTTTAAGTATTATAAAACATTTTGTTTGAGATTCTATTTTTTCTGCAGTCAATTTTTGGAAATTGTAACTGGTGGTTTAAATTGAATGTTTGCTAAAAACTATTGAGCTGTTACCAGTTTAACAAGTTCTCTGCTAAGTTCTTTATAATAAAATTATTTTTTCTACATTCAAACTCAAAGTTTAAAGAATCACTACATATATCCTATATTGTGAATACTCACCTTGCAAATTAATATCAATCATCCTATCATATCATCCTATATTGTGTATACTCACCATGTAAATTAATATCAATAATAATTTTTTGCCTCATTAATTTCATTGTTATCATTTCTTTCACAAAAACAGAATATTTTTTCGAGTATAACTAAAAGTGTCAATTGTACAACCAAAACATTTTAAAATTAAAAAATACATAAATGAAACTCAAATTACAATTTTAAAAAGGGAGAAGTGGAAACAGCTTGTCACACAGTATATTTTATTTTAAAAAAAATTTATTTATATAATTGCTTTTTTGATGATTTTTGTTTTTTACTTTCTTTTAGTTGTTATGCTTTGTGCTTCAACTTTGTTATAACTTATATTAATAATTCTTTATTGCATCTTTTCTTTAGGATTAATTTGTTACTGGAAAAAAAGTTTAATCGCAATTCATAGAATTTACATTTGTAGTTACTTGTGTTGTTACCAAAACTTAAAGTTGCTACACACTTAATTAAAAAAACTGGTTGAAATTAATCAACTAATAATTTAGTCTTAAGAATATTTGTCAACAAACCTTTTAGCAAAAATTAGTTGACTTTTTAGTTTGCTAAAAATTAGTTGACTTTTTAGTTTGCTAAAAATCAGTTGACTTTTTAGTTTGCTAAAAATCAGTTGACTAACTTTTAAGTTTGCTAAAAATCAGTTGACTAACTTTTTTATTTGCTAAAATTATTAAACTAACTTTTTAGTTTGCTAAAAATAAGTTGACTAACTTTCTAGTTTGCTAAAAATAATTGACTAACTCTTTAGTTTGAAACTCGTTAGCTAAAATTAGTCAGTTAATATTTTAGTTAGAAAAAAATATATTGTGTTATGCAAAAAATATATTGTGTTATCAAGTTATGCAGTAGTTGAGCAATGAAAACATTACAACTACCATCTCAAGACTCTTCACAGAGTATAAAAAAGTACTTTAATAATAATGAGCTAATAATAAAACCATATACTTCTTGATCAGAATCCGATGAATTATTATTTAATGTTATTAACTTGCCAAAAATTTTGGAAAAAATTATGGAAGTTTAATAACCTAAAATAATATAATATTAAGAAAAATAATAATAATAAAGAATGAAGCATAGTACCATACATGCCCAGTTCTAGATATTTGGTGGCCCTAGGCATAGTTTATTATATAGTTATCGATAATTCACATATAGTATTATTTTAAACCCATATTTCATCCACTCACATTTTATAAAAAGTGATATTTTTTTCATAAATAAAACAGATTATATGTCCATTATATTGGACATATAATTTGTTTTGTTCCCTCACTTGTATCAAGTTTTGTTGATCGAAACATCAGGCATCCTAAAAATAAAAAAAACAAAAACAGTAATAAAAAAGAGAGATAAATTTTAAATTTTAGTTAGGGGTTTATATCAAACAGCATTGAATTTTTGCATAAAATGGTGTGTTATACTACACCAGCCTATAACTTACAGTAACAAAATTATTAAAAATTTTGTTTATAAATCAGTTAGGATAAATTAACTTTGATCTTTATGCAAGTCTATTAAGGGAAACATTGTTAATTTTCTTTTAGGTTAAGATATATTTTCTAGTTTCAGTTTATAGTTTTTGTTTTCATTTTTGTTTAGTTTATTTTCGTTTTTAAGTGCCATTTTTAAAATGCGCGAAAACTATAAAACTATTTAAAAGCTGTGGCCTATTAAAAACTATTTAAAAGTTTGGCTGCTTCAAAAATTATTTTTTATTTGAAGCAGCCAAACTTTTCAACAAGTTACCATCAGACATTCAAAATACTCTCGAGCTCATCTTTTTTAATTATAAAATAAACTTTTGTTTGAAGCAGCTTTTAAGTACATTTTTTTAATTTTTATACTTTTTGTTATTTTTAGATAAAAATTTTATGTTTTAACAGGACACGTTTCAGTTTGTATAACTACTAGTGTGAATAAATAAGTAACAAATAAAAATATGAGCTAACAAACTTATTGTTAATTCAGTAAAATTTTATGTAATACTAAGTGCAAACAAAACTTGTTACCAAATTATTAGATTTATATTTAATTAATTTTTCAGTTCAAAAAATTTTATAAAAATGTCTTTTAATTGATTTAATTGTAATAATTTATATTTAGAAATTTAGTATTGTCATACTAAATTTCTCAATACAATAAAGGGGGTTGTTGTGTAACACCCCAAACACCACCAACCCTTTGCAACTGCCCTACTTTTTTATATCTCTAATATGAAATTAAATATTTAATGTCAAAGTATAGTATAATCTGATTTTATCTTTGTTGCTGGCTCATTGTATGTTGCTATATTCAGCCTTAAAGCAATAAATTTATTCTCACAATAAGCTATAATTGCATTTTGTGGTTATTGTAATATTTATAGTAAACGGTGATGCAATAAGCACAAGGTTAGCTATCTCCAAGCTGGCTAAAATGGTTCATTTTTATTTTAGAATTATTGATAAACAGATCTACTTTTATGCCTTATGAATTTGATTTGACCCTAAGAACATAGTTAGAACACTACAACTAAAAAGCTGCTAACTTTTAGTAATACTTTTGCTATTGTAAAACTAAATTCATATTAATCTATGTATATTATTTTGTTAGACAAGTAATATTTACTATGCAATTTTGTATAAATGTGGTAAACCAACACAGTTGTAATTATAGAAACTGGAATGCCACCAATGACGCCTTTAACTCCTATGACACCATTGACTCCTCACACACCTTTTGGACCAAGTTGCTTAACACCATTATCAGTACCTACAACTGTTTTTCGGCCAGGTTCTCCACCTAAATCAATAACATTGCAAAATCCCATTATACAAAGTTTACAAAGTGTACATAACTTGGCAACAACCAGCATCGTCACTCCCAAATCTGAGGTATTTTGCATAATTTTTTTTTTAGTAAAGTATGATGAGTTATAGATAATTATTATTATTATTATTATTTTTTTCAATATTATAGCCATCACAAGTGTCTATGCCACCTCCTTTACCTCACAAAAGTAATATGGATTTAAGCATTATGAGTCAACAAAATTGGCTTCAACTTGAAGAGGTTATTAACCTTATTTGTATGTTGTTGTTTTTATGGTTTTTTGTTTTAATTTTTAAATTTACTTTCTGTAGTTAAAAAAAAAAAAACACTTCTCTTGGTATTCATAGTAATTAAATATATACTGCGAATACCAAGAGAAACAATATATTTGAAAATAATAAACAATATTAATTGTTGTTTATTTTCAAATATAATATTTTAAATATTAAGATGGCAAGCAATTTGATTACTATGGCTAATAAGTTAAAGTTAATGGTTGAGCAAGTGAAAGTCCAGTCTGAAGCATTTAAAGATAACGCTGTAACTCAAGCAAAGATACAAGCTGAAAACGAAAAGGCTGAGGTTTATTATAATTTTTAAAAGTACTTTCTGTTTCTTGTTGATTGCGCCCAAAGTAAAATAGTTTTATTCACAATACATTCATTACTTTAATTTAACATTTCAAAAAATGAAAACAGGTTATTAGATAAACATCTAAAAAGAATTGCAAATTCACTGTATGATGCAAGGGTTTAAGATAAAATCAGTTTAGCATTAAGCCTGAACATTAAAAATTAGTTGTAATAGATTAGGAAATAATTTGCAGGCTTAGTTTACATTTAAAGTTACTTTTTTGTGAAATAAATATTTAAAAAATATTATTATAATATAATATGTAATGAATAATGTTTTTAATTACATTCGGAATAATTTTTTTTCTTTTTTAATGTTTAGAATGTTAATAACATTAAAAACATTAATAAACAAAGCAGGCTTGGTCGGGAAGCGGTTGCAATCGCTCTCGATTGCTGACCATATAAATAATATTTAGTTGCGAAAAGCTGGCCAGATTTTTTAGTCGTTTTGAGAACATTTTAAAAAACAAAAAAAAAAAAAACCCAAAAGATTAATTGGACCAATGAGAGACAATTACAAAAAAAAAAAATCTCTATACGAGAAAAAACTTGAAGCTAAATAAATTATGTTTAGAACAAATATTTTCGAAACATCGCTCTTTTATAATTTTTTTTTATAAAATTAGGCGATGTTTTTTATATATAGTAACATCTTAGGATTGTTTAAAAAGGAAACAAATATTCTTTATTTAACCAAGTTTACAAGTTTTAGTTTTATTTAAGCTAAACTATTTTATAAATAAAAAAAGTTATTTTTTTAATACTTATTTTATGTTTTGCGTAGTTTGAAAAGTTTAACATATTTGAAGCAATTCTTCTTAGTAAGATAAACAAATGGAATGATTAAATTGAATTACTATAGAAATTAAATTAACAAGATAGAAATCAACTAAAAAGGTTGATTTCTATCTTGTTAAAAAAAAGGTTGCTGATGATGTTTAGTGAGTGGACTTTTTAATTTTAATTAGTATTTAAAGCAGAAAAAAGTATAACGAGTTTTAAGAATGGCAATTTAAGCGAAAATAATTAGAGTTAGTAAACCAATATCTAGAAACTTTTCTTTATATCTAATTATTTGCTATATATATATTTGTGTTCTGTTGTGACCTCAGGCGCGGTGCTTGTTCCTCCGTGAGTTACTTTGTGTGGGTTGTTTGTGTTTAGTAACCAGAAACTTCTTATATGTTTGTTACATAATTAGTTTTATTAACTTTAATGATTATAACTTCATTGAAAACGCAATTATTTTTGTAAGTCTTTGTTTAAATCATAAAAATTGCTTTAATAGATACATTATGATAAAAAACAGATACACAAAATTACATTTACATAAGGGATACATACTTTTTAAATAAAAAAATAAGAATATACTAATAAAATCTATAATTTATAATAAACTTTTAAAATTTTGACAATTTAATATATATTTAAAACATTTTTGTAAAAAAATAATATATATTCTTAAAATTATTTATGCTAGAAATCTCAAAACGTAACAAATCGTGAATAATACAGTTTTTAAAACATTTTAACAGAATACTCTAGAACTTTATTTCGTTTAGTTAGCGTATTTTTTGAACCAATAGAATTTGTTTGTTCGTTAATTTGGCGGGTTATAAGTGTTCGCGAATATTCTTTTTATTCTTTCGCACCAAGATATTTTAAGAACATTAAACATTTTTTTTTTTTTTACTAATTTAAAAATATCAGTTTCTATGTATATTTAAATTCATTAAATTGTTTAAAAATGTTTTGTTACTTCATTAAATAGTGTTTTAATAATATAAAAGCATTAAAGATCAAACCTATTTAATTGTAACGGCTTTCTAAAATATTTGTCTTTTTTTTTCAACAAATTTATTTTTACCTTTTTAAATGTATTAACTTTAATTATTTTTATATTAAAATTCATTAAAGAGACTTTCCTTGTCATTGAAAGTCATCATTTATAAAAACAAAATTATTTTTTATTATTTTAATAACATTTGTTATAACAAATGCATACTTAAACAATTTGTATAACATAAATTTTAAAAATTATATACAACTGTCAATTATAATTAAAATTCATTATCAGTAAATTTTTACTTAATTTAAAAGCGTTTCGCTAATATAAAAACATTTGTTAAGAAGTTTAGATGTAATTTATTTCACCTAAGGTAAAATTCAGAATATTTTTTATTCAGCACATTTTTAAAATGTTTTTTGAAATATCCGCGGTTAACTCGTCAAAGAAAAATATGATTTGCCTGGTCATACAATGACGTGCGATCGCACATCTTCCTGTGAAAGACTGATTGTTAATGCAATACTGCAATGCAATTGCAGTTGACTGCAAATGCAATTGCAATTGCAAATGAAATTGACTGTTAATGCAAAAAAAAAAAAAAAAATCATGCAAAAATTTTCTTTTTTCTTTTTCAGTTTACAGCTTCAGTGTTTTAGAGGCTTTTAGTTAAGTTTACTTTAAGATTTAACCACTCTACACAGTAGTTTGATAAGAAAAACTGTTAAAAAAAAGTTAAAAAACTGTCCTTTTTTATTTTTTGACGCTTTTTTGAAACTTCAAAATTCGGGTTTTTAAACTTTATATGGTATTTTCATTTGAGCATTAAAATAGATTTATATTTTAATTTTGAATTAAAAAATTTATATTTGAATTTTGATTTATTTAATAATAAAAAAAATTATTTTGATCAAAATGCTGTCAAATAGTTAGTCTTTCAAATGTTGCTGATCTTATTGTTTCTTGTGAGACAAAAGAAATATCTGTTGTTGATGACAGTACAAATATGAAATTTGCTACAGGGGAATATATTGATGAATATACAATTTGTGATTTAAAAAAATCTTATTATGTTCATAATTATTTTATATCAATGAACATAAAAAAATCTTACTATGTTCATAATTATTTTATATCAATGAACATAAAAAAATAAGAAACATTTTTTTAAATAACAAGTTGTGCAAATCCATTTTGCTACTTTAAGTGAGACCAATAATTATATAAATAATATTCTTTCAGGTTGTTCAATTTTAGGAAGATAGGGAATACAGGAACACTGGTGCTGATCACTACTTGGATAGGTTTACATTGTCAAAAATTTAACAGTTAAAAAAACTTTTATGAAATATATATTGTTTATTGCACTGACCAATTTGTGCTATTAAATTTAGTGTTGTCATGAATGTGTTTGATCTCTAGAATTTAGTGTTGTCATGAATGTGTTTGACCTCTAGAATTTAGTGTTGTCATGAATGTGTTTGACTTCTAGAATTTAGTGTTGTCATCAATGTGTTTGACCTCTAGAATTTAGTGCTGTCATCAATGTGTTTGACCTCTAGAATTTAGTGTTGTCATCAATGTGTTTGACCTCTAGAATTTAGTGTTGTCATCAATGTGTTTGACCTCTAGAATTTAGTGTTGTCATCAATGTGTTTGACCTCTAGAATTTAGTGTTGTCATCAATGTGTTTGAATGTGTTGTCATGAATGTGTTTGAATGTGTTGTCATGAATGTGTTTAACCTCTAGAATTTAGTGTTGTCATGAATGTGTTTGACCTCTAGAATTTAGTGTTGTCATGAATGTGTTTGACCTCTAGAATTTAGTGTGGTCATGAATGTGTTTGACCTCTAGAATTTAGTGTTGTCATGAATGTGTTTGACCTCTAGAATTTAGTGTTGTCATGAATGTGTTTGACCTCTAGAATTTAGTGTTGTCATGAATGTGTTTGAATGTGTTGTCATGAATGTATTCGACCTCTAGAATTTGATTTTTAACCAAAAAACTAGAAGTATACTGGCGTCAACAAGTACTAAGTATAAAATGTAGAGAAAAATTATCACAATTTGAAAACACATTTTAAATTCTTTTTACTCAATTAATTAAAGTTTACATTTGACCTCATTACTCTTTGTTGTCTGAAATATTTTTTTTTCTTGACTTAAGATGCAATTTAAATGATCTCTAAGTTTTGTTTGTGAATTATCACTGGATGAAAAAACATTTTTGAAGGGCGAAGGATGAAAAAACAATTATGAAGGGTCATTGGATGAAAAAGGAGTTTTTTTGTATTACTATCAGGGAAATTTGGAAAGTAATAATTTGGTTGCAAATCTAATATTCAAATGCAATATTGCAAATCTGTCATTAATTCATGCCTGTTAAATATGAAATTAACTAAGACAATCATCAACATAATTTCACTACCTGAATAACATATTTATGATAAATAGTATAAAATATGTGAATAGGTCAAAAATAAGTTTTAGGAGTGTATTATTCTAAATTAATGCAGACATCAATGGGAATCGAGTCCCATAATTCCTGGTTTTTATTATTGTTAGTATACATTTTGCTTAAATAACAGGGCATTAATCCTAATTTGGCAAAAAAGACATCAGTAAATAAAACTTTATAAATAGGAATTGTTCCAAGCATAGAAGAATGTTACTTGAATTGTGAACAAATATGGGAAAAAGTTGGTCTATCAGAGATATATAAACTGTCAGCTGATTTAAAGCTGCTTAATATAATTCTGGGACTACAAAGCCACAGTAAAGTAATATTTTCTATTTAAGCATTTATTATATGATTGTACATCATGCTAACTTTTGATTTATATGTTAGGTGCAAAACAACAGGGATGTTGTTTTTGCTATTAGAGTTCTGACATGGAAGATTTCTTGTTTGTATTTAAGTTAAAACTCTTGGATTAAAGAAAACAATTTAGCCTGTATAGCAGCTGGGGAAAAGGATTCGAAGCTAAAAGACTTTAACAAATGCAAGAATTTTCTGTTACTAGTAGAAGATGATTCAACCAGGATTCTAGACATTGCAACATTCCAGAATTACACATTTTTGCTGTAAATGTTTTTAAAACTTTTCGTAAAATTGCCATAATAATTAAAACTATTATATTGCATTATGAATATGAAAGCGGTAAAGCTATACCTTTAAAATATTCGTCTAAATTTAACATTTTTATTAAAATTTATATATTAATATTACTAAGAATGTGTCAACATTATCTGGAATGAATTAGCTCACAGCTGGGAAGCTAACAAAAGGATACCTTTTTTGAAAAAACATGGTCTTTTAAAAGCAAAGTATCATGGAGGGGAGTTTGAAGGTTAATATATTATTCAAAAGTAAAATCTGATTTATAAATTGTTGAATTAGACATATTTTTTACTTTAAAGTGTCTACAGTGTCTACCCAGTGTCAGATTATCCAAAGACTATCATTATGACTCATACAAGAAAAAAATTATGGGTGTTGTTTTGACATATAATAATGAAAGGATTTAACTGTACAATTATATATTATGAAACTGTTTAGATTCTTATATAATAATAGTTATTAATATTGTTAATTTTTAATAAAATCACTAATAATAATAACAAAATGAATGATTTTAAATTAATAAGATGTAAGCCTCACATAATATAGTAAAAAACAAAGTTTTGTGTTTTGTCTTAAGAAAAAAATGAGTTTTAATCAAAGAAAAATCTATAATTTTTAATTGCGCATTTTATACACACTGCGTATTGTAAATGACAGTCAAACCTCATTCTACTCCATATTTTTCACCATCTTGAGCAGTTGCTTTATTAATCATTTATTTCATCTTTTTCACAAAAACATCTCTCTTAAGAACAAATGTTCTTTTATTATTCTAAGAAGCCTATGTAAAAAGGTCCAGTCTGATGTTAAGCTGTGTTATTTTAAGTTTACTAAATCTTGTATCTTATATCAGATGTTAGGTTCTAGAGACTTTTGGTTAGTCTTCAACAATGTCATTAACTAAAGTAAATTTAACATTTAATCTTATAATATAATATTTGATATTTAGTTTTTAAAAAGGGCTAAGTAAGTGGTTCCAATTTTTTAAAACTCTAGAAAACACTTTGACCTCTTCAACTATTCTGCGTCTTCTATCTGTTATTAGTTACCTTATGTAAAGGTTTTTGAGATTGTTAAATTATTTTTGACTAACTGCAGTAATAAAGTTATTCTTGAAGGCCTACACTCTTCTTTATTTCAAGTAACTTTAAGGGTATCTTGTGGTACCCTTAAATCTTTACTCCTGTATTGTTTCTTATCTACAATATCAATCTTCATGAAAATTTAAAGTCATAGAGTATATAGTTGAGTCACCAATAAATAGAGCCACCTAAAGTGGCTCTATTTATTGGTGACTTAACTATACTCTTGTCTTTACAAATCTTTACTTTTTGGTTGCTTAGAACAAGCAGCTGATTTTAATTCTCTCTTCTGTAACAGCCTAAGGCTTGCTTTGGCTTATGGATTTAAGTTCTTGACTTCTACAATTATTGTTAGACAACAAAACTCATTTATTTACTGCAAAAAAATTTTGCAATAATGTTGGTATTCCTATATTGATGAATAACAACCCTCTTAATCTCAGATAAAGTCTAAAAGCACATTGTAAATGTAATGCGGTCGTGGTGTAGTGGTAGAGCGCTCGTGTCATAAGCAAGAGGTACCATGTTCGATCCTCACCACATCCTTGGTAGTACCGGGCTCAACTTGTTTCTCTGCACAGCAGTCTTGGTTGTTAAGGTTCGTGTTTGAAAGTTATATCGTTGAGAGAGGGTTATAACCACATTTAAGTAGCCTCCTCGTCTTTGATGACATTTTTAGCATTGGGGAGGTGAATTAACATAAATTAAAAAAAAAAA